ATCAATAAAAACAGAAATTGCTTGGTTTCGACACATAAAAAAATGTATATGATGGTGTAGTTTTTCGTTCTGTTCTCTTTCACATTTTTGTTCTATCGTTTATTCATTTTTATAAAAAGAAGCAACGTTTATTTCGTTTTTTAGACGTTTTATTACGAGTAAAAAAGAAGTTAGTAACAATGCAATTTCCAGACGATAAATATATTCAACGAGAGTTTGATAGTATTGATAAAGGTTCGTTTTAATTTGTTTCTCATTTGAATACACTGTCAAAAATTATCTTTAGGTAAAACGGGAAGAATTTCAACGGCTGATTTTCGAAGTTTAGTCTTTGATAATGAATCATTACAAGGTTTTCGTAGTGCAGCAATTGATAAATATATTTCTGAATTAAGCGACAATACAGGATGGATTACATTTGAACAATTTAAAAAATTTATGCGAGCAGAAACGTCAAATTTTGATAATCCAATTGTTATTGCAGAATTAAAGGAAGCGTTTAATGAAGTTGATAGTAATAAAGATGGTCTTATATCACAACGAGAAGCACGACATGGTATTACATTATGCGGTGAACGAATACCGGGATTTTGTTTTGATGATATGCGTGAACGATTTGATGATAATGGCGATGGACTATTGTCTTTCGATGAATTCTTAAATAATCTTAAGAAAACTGTTCAGGACTAAATAAAAACTAAACATTACCATTAGAATAATTTATGATGATTATAAATATATCTGGACATCTTTTTTTTCTAAGGAATTAATTTATATATGATATATTAAAAAAAAAAAAACGAATGAATGAATGACGTAGAAATTTGAATTCTTTTTCATAGAGTTCAATTGCATAAATATGTATCTTCAGAATTCTTTCTGTACTTTAATCTATTTCAGCAATTCACTGAGGGTGTGATGGTAGTCATTCGATTTTTTTATTTAAGAATAACTTTACATATACTTATATCTGTTCAAACCGCTTCATCATTCTCATTCACACATGCATCTGAATTTAAACAAATTATCCTTGTTCTTTCTTCATGTACTAATTTTGTTTTTGAATAATTTCAATTATATATACGAGTCAACCAGTAAAGTAATATGTTAATAATTGAAGATATCAAGTATTATTTTATTCTCATGTTCTATCTGTATTTATATTGATCTATCCTGTCTTTCCTCTTTTAATTCGTAAACAACATGAAAGTATGTCTTGGATGGAATGAAAATGTTTTTGCACATGTACTTGATGACTTATCTTAAAGCGCTTTTCAATTCAACATACGGTAATCTTATTTTTGAGAAAGCTAATCTCTGTCAATTTAGAAAAAGCTGGTTAGATAAAGAATTTTCTATTAAATGCGTAACAAAATCAAAAAAGATTCTTTCCTCTTCTTATTTTTGTCATCATGTTATGCTTCTCTTTCATTATTGAAATTTATATTTTGTCTGTTCCCTTATTCTAGTTTTCAATATAATTTTCTTCCACTTTTTTATGTACTGTTAGGATGGAATGATTGCATATATTCAATTTGTAACAAATCTCTTCTTCTTTCGTGATGAGTAATAGATAAACCTTTTCAATATTATCTATTATTGTATAAAAGACTAGATTTGAATATTTCCTATTATTATTTTCACTGACAACTTAAATCACTTGTTTTCTCAGAAATACTTCATATATCACTCAGTTGGATTCGATTAAGGTTTATTTAATGAAGACTCTTCAGATTATTTATCACGCTACTCATCATCATTATTATTTTTTTTTCTTTTCTACTCTTTATAACTGAAACCAACACTAGAGAGAAAATAAAATTTTCTCTAGTAGGCTTACTTGTTCATTTTATTCCTCATTTCTTCTATTCATTAAAAGCATATATAACTGCGTATCCTTCCAGTTTATTTACATGTCATATTTCTCAAAGGTAGGTATTACAGATGATAAATTCTATTCATTTTTATATCTTTGAAGTAATTTTCTATGACAGCTAAGATTTGTTAAAACACACAGATTTTCTATTTTTACAATTGCACATAATTGTATAAAATAAAAATCTCTTTCAAATCAGCTTGATAATACATGATTTGAGACTCGTTTGTGAAATAGGGTGCAAAGTTCCCAATGTTAATGGCATTGAGTAGATTTTTATCTTAAGAGGTCGAAATTAAGTGCTACTTCTTTTAATATCTTTATAAGAAATCTCTTTATAGTTAATAATAAATTCAAATTGTTATGACAAGAATCCATGACAAATAATCTTCATGATTTTTCTAATGATACATCATTCTTTCGAGTTTTATAATATTGAGTCTTTTTTATTTAAAATATATCATAATTAAATAAAATGCATAATTTTGCCATTTTGTTTTTCGATTATCTGGAAGGAAATTGAATCTCGTATGAAAAATTAGAAAATAGATTTTTTAAGTTTAATATCGATATTATTTCAACTGTTATTATCTATTTTTTGGTTAAGAGATCATTACGATATAGAATGATAATTTCTCATGCGTGTGTCAAGGACATAAAAAAAAGAGGAAAACCCACATAGAACCGCATAAATGATGTGCTTTACACTCCAATAATCAATTAAAACTTACATAGAGATACATTTATATAAGAATACGCTTCGCTAAAAAAATAATATAGAATAAAAAAATTATAATTATGTCTACAAATAGTATGTAAGTAGATGTTATACAATGTACACAGTAAGGACAAAAATATCTAACACAATTTCATTATAAACAATATATTAATCATCTAATTCAAAAAGAATATTTTGACATTCTTAGAAAATAATTTCAAAAGTATTAGTTTCATTTGCTCGTCTAGTATATATAGTTAATTGTTTTTCTTCATTGTATCGCTGTATTAGGAACGCAATAGAATTTCCATCTATTTACGATACAATCTGAATATTTAAAATTTGAAGGAGAATGATCTTTAGAAAGATTGTAGAATTATCGAGAAGATAGTACAACCGAAATTTCATTATTAACAAAATTATTAGTTTTATAATTCAAGAAAAATATCGATATTATTTTTATGTAATTAAATATATCCCTTAACTGGTGAAAGAGATATATAAAATAAAATAACCGTAGCTTCAAACACAAATGAGAAAAAAACGAGTAATGACACAAAACTCTTATCTTAGTAATGTTTCTATCATTTGAAAAGGTTTTCTAATCGTATAAAGTTATCCCTATCTAAATTTCAGATCCCATTGTAACAGATTTCTAACAGTATCACGAAACACATAATGGTTCGTTTACATTATAACGCTGATCTTATGCTGGAAAATATTTAATTATTTTGAACTGAGCGAATCCTTTAAAAAATAATAATATCTCATAAATATAAGTTAATTGAAAACATTTCCGTGCATTTTACTTACGTCATGATGAATTTACGTAAGATAATAGAATAGATTGTAGATTTTAAGAATTTCAAACTTATTATCTTTTTGTCATAATGCTTTTATTAATTTTTGTTAAGAATTGCATTTTCTTTTTATAGATTTTGTAAAAGATGAATATTACAATAACAAATACTACCATTGCCAGTACGAGCGATTATGATACTCGTATGATTGCACTCGTTAATCTTCTAAATCAGACCATTTCACAAGTTGCTTTAGGTTTAATTTGTATCATGGGAAATATTGGTTCGATTTTCAATTGTATTGTCTTTTCTCAACCAACTTTTCAGAAAAGTCCTTGTGCTATGTATTTCATTGCTGCAAGTTTTTCACAATTATTTACCTTTGATTTTGCTCTTTTTACTCGTATGTTGCATTATGGGTATAATATGAAAGCTCTTAATTATGAACTTTGGTATTGTAAAATTCGATTTTATTTATTCTATATTTTTGTAGCAGTTCCTCGTTATAATCTTATTATGGCTACGGTTGATCGTTTCTTTGCTAGTTCACGTGATGCTCTTCGTCGTCAATGGAGTTCACAAAAGATTGCACTTCGTGTTATCATTGCCAATAGTATTCTTTGGTGTATTATTTATATTCAAGTTCTCATTTTCTATGAGATCAATAATAGCAATTGTTCTTATCGAGGAGGATCATATGGAATATTTTTTAGTATTTATATTTCAATTGATAGCGGTATTCTTCCCATCTCATTAATGCTTATTTTCGGTTTACTCACTGTTAAGCATGTTCATCAATCAAAACAAAGAATTGTTCCAACTCCAGGAAATAATGATGCGCCAGCTAATCAAACCGGCAGAATGTCAAAAAAAGATGCACAACTTCATAAAATGTTAGCAAATCAAATACTTCTTTTTCTTATTCTAAATATACCAAATCCTTGTTATCTTGTTTATCAATCATTCATCGTAAATAGTACATTATCTCCACTGCGTCGTGCAAGTGAATCATTTGCCAGCAATATGACATATGTTCTCGTTTATCTTGGATTTTCATTAACATTCGCGAATTTTTTTATATCATCAGAAATATTTCGACGAGAATTTATTCAACTTATTCGAACAAAGGTATTACGTCAAAATCCAAGACGAACAACATCAACGGGTGGTGCTACAACAGTCAAAGTTCTTCGCCCAACTGATGGAGAAGAATAATATTGACAAAATAAATAAAAAGACATCAATTCTAATAAGATTAACTTGAAAAACAAATTATCTTTTTGAAATTCATATTTAATAATCAATAAACATACAATAAAATCAGAAGAACAAAATATGTTATTCTTTAGATTTGCTTCTTTTTCTCTATAATTGTGCAAGAGTTGCTATATATCAATCGATTTTCAGATTCGAATGAAAGACAAAAACAACGCATATCTTATTCTTTTCTGTATATAGTGTAGTATGTATCAAATTTTATTTTTGCAATAAATAAAAATGATATAAGAAGAAAGCTAATGACCAAGAGCAAAAAAAGATATTGAATTAATTAATTTAGAACAATTAAAATCTTTAAGTCACATTTTTCTTCTGCATTCTTCACACTCTAGAGGAAGCGCCATTCTATGCTAGTATGACCATTACCAATATCACCAGCTATAGCCATGAAACCATCATATGTTAAAGCAATATCACCTAAAAAAATTCAATAAATGTATTGATATTATTGAGCTAATGGGATTTACCTTCTTTACAATCAAGACAACGATCAACAAATTGTATAATTATTTCACCATTGATACCTTTAGCAACTGCTTTCTTTTGACAGACAGGATTTGTACTTGGAATACCATTAACAGTATATGGATCAAATTGAATTTCATTGAGTGCAGCTGTATAGATTCTTTCACTATTTTCATCTAATGAACGAGCTCGACTTGTACCACATGTAGTATAATCCGAACTAGCCATTGTTTCGTTGTAATATGTCGCTTGTCCTTGAAATTTACCTTCGAGCGAAGCTGGTTGTTTTCCGGACAAGAACTTAGCAATAGCACAATGAGTAGCAGATGCACCGCAACTAGATAAAGAACAAATTTTTCGTTGGATTTATTATTTCTATGATTACATACTATCCGAATTGCGAGCAACACATACCAGCACCACAGCCAGTAGCACCACAACCACCATAGCTAACTCCTGCGCAATGAGCAGCACTGTTTCCACAACTAAAGGATACGAAAAAAAGTTACTAATACTGTATGCATCCACTTTATTTCGATCGCTTACAATCCATGGGCGGAACAACATGATCCTGCTGGACAACCTGTGGCACGACAATTGCCACTACCTCCATTAATAATAGGAGCAGCTGGAGCGGCAGGAGCAGCAACAACACCACCACCACCACCACAGTGTTCTGCGGTAGTTCCACAACTGAAACGAATACAAGTATGCAATAATTTAGAAGATAAAGACTTAATTTACGCACTAGCCGTATTGCGAACAGCATTGTCCTGCTGCACAACCAGTGGCTCGACAACCTCCTCCTGCTGGTGCTGCTACTGGAGCTGCTGGTACTGCTACTGCTCCTCCCCGACAGTGTTCAACAGTATTACCACAAAAGCCAAATGCCGAACAACAGGCACCAGCTCCGCATCCACCAACCAAGCAGTTACCAGCTAAATATGAGAAAAAATTGTGCTTCTGACAATACTTATTTAAATTTCACTTACCAACACTGTATGTGAAAGACAATAAGAGAAAACTGACACCAGTTACAGTAACTAACATCGTTATTTGTGTGTGTGTTATTTAACGTCGAAGTATAAGTTCTGAAAATAAAATAAAACTCAAGCGCTATTTATTTTTTCGATAAATTATTATTCCTTTATCCTAGTTTTCATTTAATTATATCGGACTA